ACCCTAAACCCTAAACCCCAAGGAACTTCCCCGACTCTGGGCCGGCGACCCCTTTGATGCACTCGGGATAGCCCGCGGCCTCGGCGAAGTTAGCATCTTATGGCTCATAGTAGGGTTTACCCATAGGCCCCATANNTAGTAGTTCCTTTTTGGGATTACTAAATATAAGCTCGGGCGGTTCGGCACACAGTCGGCTTCCGGTTTCGGGATTCCGTTTAGGGCTTTGGGGCTTTAGGGGTTTAGGGCTTTAGGGGTTTTGGGTTGTAGGGTTTAGAGATTAGGGTTTAGGCGGAGATTTTCTTGGAGGTCAAACTGCTGCCGCCACATGGGGAGCAGGCGGTTGGGTTTTGCCCGGCTCAGCCCATCTTGGCCATCAGAACCCGGAACTCTCTTTCTGGCTTCTCTGTGAGCGTCGCTACGGCCGGCTCGGGTCGCCAAACCCTATTCTAGTCATTCAGGCCCCTTTGAAACCAGCCCCAAGAGTAGGTATAGGCAGGGAGCCAGATAGAGCTTGCACTTATAAAAGGAGGTTTAGGGTTTAGGGTTTACGGTTTAAGTTTAGGGTCTACAGAGGTTTCGGAGTTCAGTCAGGGATAGCCAGGAAACACAGAGAAACCAATAGTGTTCTTACTTATAGGAGCATGGGACCTAGTAACTAGGGTGAAAGGGTAAAGTAACTACACTGTTGAATACTTTTGATTACTTATAACATCTTTATCAACTCCAACTAAGGTACTTATAACCTTACCTACTCAATCCCATGATCCTGCCAGTATGCAAGGAGTGCTCAAGGAAGCGCGAAGAGGCCTTTATCATGTAAGGGCACACAAACTACAGGGGCTTGGGACTTCCTTGCAGTTCCTTCAAGGGAAACAAACCCCTATCGAAGCGTTCGAAAATGAAAGATACCAAACCCAAACCCTGCCCCTTGAAGGAAACCAAAGTTTCTGTAAGATTTTCTGGGCTTCCTGATAGGGTCTTGGGCTTAGGTCTTGGGCTTAGGGCTTTGGGGCTGAGGTTCAGGGTTTCGCGGTTCAGCGCGCAGGCTCGGGTTTGTGAACATCAGGTTTAGGGTTTAGGGTTTAGGGTTTAGGGTTTAGGGTTTAGGGTTTCGGGTTTCGGGTTTAGGGTTTAGGGTTTAGGGTTTAGGTATGCAGTCTACGACCGGGTGTAGACACAGGAATTCAGGATTCGGATTTGGAGCGCAGAGATTGAAGCTTCTAACTTCTAAGCCACACCGAAATAAACAGGAATATTACTATTCGATAGGGCTCCGTCAGATCAGTATATCATATGTAACGTGCCCCCGGAAGCCTATTATGAAGACTCAGATCCATCACAAAGTCCACCTACTTTTTTTTGGGCCAGCTCCAGCTGAATCATCATCAGGAGGAGTTCTTGCCAAGGGCTGCATTCTGCAGCTGCGGGAAAGCGATGTGCCACGAGGACAACCTGTGTGGGCGGCCCTGGCATTCGCAGGGCATGGCGGGCAATGTATTCCCTTTGGCCACTTAAAGGATCACGGGACTTAGTAAGTAGGGTTATAATTGAAGTAACTACTACACTTATAACCCCAATTAAGGGACTTATAACCCTACTTACTAAGTCCCATGATCCTCCAAGCACTACTCTAAACCCTAAACCCTAAACCTTAAACCCTAAACCCTAAACCCTAAACCCTGAACCCTGAACCCTGAACCCTGAACCCTAAACCCTAAACCCTAAACCCGCATGAGGAAATGCCTCTTGGTGCCAGCAGCAGCACCCTGGGACTGCATGCGGAGAGCTTCCCAGAGCGTTGGCCAGGAGGTTGGCTTCTTGGGTCGCTGCCACGTGGTGGGTTTCTTGGTTTAGGGTTTAGGGTTTCGGGCTTAGGGTTTAGGGTTGTGGGTTTCGGGCTTAGGGTGTAGGTTTTTGGGTTTCGGGCCTAGGGTGTAGGTTTTTGGGTTTGTGGGTTTCGGGCTTAGGGTTTAGGGTTGTGGGTTTAGGGCTTAGGGTTTAAGGATTAGTTTAGGGTTTGCGGAGGATGCGGCCTGGGACGCGAAGTTAGAACTAGGCTCGCGAGTGCTTTACAGCCGCCTTGCCAGTCCGTTGCCCCTGCTAAACCCTTAACCCACAGACCTACATATAAACCCTAAACCCAACGCCCTAAACTCCTATATAAACCCAAACCCCAAGCCCTAGACCCCCAAGCCCTAAGCCCTAAAGCGCTAAAGCCCTAAACCCCTATACTAAGCCCTAAACCCCAAAACCGCCAGTGCCGAATGCCTCTAAGCCGGCAGACTAGGGAGCCTGAATGCCTCCCCTCAGCCCTAAACGCTCCCAAATCCGAGCCATGTTTGGGTTTTGGGATTTTGGGGTTTTGGGGTTAGGGTTTAGGGTTTAAGGGTTTAGGGTTCAACGCCGTCAGCCTAATAGCATCCCTGAACAAAGCTCTCCCTAACCCTAAGCCCTCAACCCAAAATGAGCCTAACCAAAAAAAACACCCTAGGTAAGACATGGCCCCCAAATCTATGTGGGTAGTTGTCAAAATTATGGTCCCTTTTGGGGTATACCCTAAATCATAGGTGCCATATTATAATAAGGACCCAAAAAGGGACCATAATTTTCACAACCACCCATCTCTGATCCGGACTCTCAGCTGCCCGAGCATCCAAAGTCTCCAAAGTCGGAGTGTCTGAGTTTGAGACCACGAACCCACCGGCACAGTCGAAACCTGAGAAAGGTTCACCAGAGCATACTGTATATAGGGGCCTTAATATTGGAATAGGGTTTTGGGCTCCTTTATAATATGTTCGTAATAAGAAGCCATACCACTAACATGGGTAATTATTTAGGCTTCTATATCAGAGTGTTTTGTTTGGAGGGCCCTTTTCCCGCCTGCCCTCAGTAGGTCCCGACATCCTAGACCCCAAAATCCCCGTAAAAAATAACACAACGAGACTTGGCTGGGGTACAACTCTCCTATCCCACCCCAAACCCTCAGCTGAGGCCCCTGCAACAATGAGGGAACTTAGGGGTCTGAATCAGACGAGGGCTTTTTTAGGATATAGTATATTAGAGTTCTGAATCCTATCATTTTGATAATGGCTTTTGGCTTCTATCTTATGTAGCTGACAGTCTCATGCCTCAGGAAACTAGCGGGCAATCAAACCAGTACCACATCACTGCTCAAGTGTGCTTGCAGCGTGTTGAAACGACTCTGCAATCAAGTCCATTTGTCTTCCGGCTAGCTTTCAGGGTTTACGTGGGACATAGGGTTCGGACTTAATCCTTGAAACTTAGGGAGTTCAAGACGGTTCGCGGCTATGGATCTCGGAGGGGTTTTGCACTTGAGGTTGCGCCTGGGCTAGCTCCAAGTCGTAATATCTCGAATCCGGGATGCCGATACAGCCCTAGACTCCAACCCACTCCCTAGGACTGCGGGCTCTTGTTTCAAAGCCGCGCTGGCAGTGAGGGGGTGTCGATGTTGCTTGTGGCTCCTTTCAGACGGTTGCTGGCGAGCAGAACGCAGTTCTTTGCTCCCAGCACAGCCATCTCCATGGCCTTACTGGTCCAGTTTGCTACAAGTATCTAGGTTGGCCCTATAAAGCCTTTTAAACAAGGGTTTGTAAATAAGACCCACTTAGTCCAACAAGGGAACATGTAAAGTTTCCGAAAAGCCTTCCTAGCTACGAGCTGTCAAGGGTGAGCCTTTTAGTTTCTGGAGCTGTATGAGTTCTTTATTATTTGTAAGAACAAAACCTGATGAGTTCTTTATTATTTGTAAGAACAAAACCTTATGAGTTCTTTACTATTTGTAAGAACAAAACCTTATGAGTTCTTTATAATTTGTAAGAACAAAACCTTGCAAAAGGGCAAAGGTAATGGGATGAAGTCTGCACTAACTTGACCTCGGAGTGGCACTAGCCGCTTCCTCGATTGCATTGCAGTAGTAGAGGCCAGCTCCATCCAGGCAGAATGCGGCATCCGCCAACTTTTTGCCGGTCGCCTGAGGTCTTTTCTATATCAAGGCTTTGTGTGGAAAACGACCTGTAAACCCTCAACCTTAAACCCCAAACCGACAGTAAGCCTTTCAAGCCTCACAGTCTAGAGTCTAGAGCCTACGCCCAAACCCTGGACAATAGCTTCCATACGGCTGATGACATAAATCTTGCACTACCCACAATAAGGAATATACCCTTAAGGTAATGCAGGATTTGTATCATCAAGAGTAGTTTCGAAGAGCCCCCACCTCATACTTCGGGTAGGCCCACCACCCAACTGTCTCGCATTTGGGCCCATTCGGGAAGAGCTTCTTCGATTGCTCGGCTGTCAGTGGTTCCGGAGAGAAAACTTTCCAAATCAGCTGGTCATCTCGTTTCTCGGAGCTGTTGTGTAGGCCAATGCTATTGAATCCTTCGCCGGCAGTGCTCCTCGGCCAATGCTCTTTATGCCACATGCTAGAAGCAAGTGAATGCTTAGAGGCTTTTCACGATCGAACGTGACATGTGTTCCCTTGCTCCCACGGCGTCAGCAGCTATACACCTGTACATAAACAACCATGCCGTGTTGCTCAAAATGGAACAATGTCCTTCGAGCCTAGCGGAATGGACTAAGGCACCCAATACACAAACTGATCTAGTCTTGTTGAAGACAGTGTTGGGTACCACCCCCATACAACCACACTCATTTACCTATACTAGAGCTCCGATTAAGGGCCTAATATATCTGCACTATAAATACTAGTCGACTGTTACTGAGTTGGCGACTGTATTTCAGCCCCCTTATGCAACCCTCAGGGAGCCAAGGTCAACAACTACTGCGAGGAAAGCCCCACAAAACCCTAGGAAGCCCCTCAAAAGGAAACCCAACACCTAAACCTTATAATGCGCTATAAGACCTTGCAAAAAGCGCACCCAGGCTCAGAATGATGCCTGGGACAGGATCTGAGCAACGCAGGGCTTTAGCATCTGGTGGCGACTGGAAGAATGTCGCGTAAATCCTCTGGTAAGGCCTGACCACCTGTGGCCCATGGGGTGTAGGGTTAGGGTTGTCCATGGTGCACTCAGCTGAGGATCCCATGCATGGACCATGGATATCTTGCTGCAGGGCCTTGCTTGAAACCGCCGTCATACGGAAACTGCAAGACACAACGCTATCTGAAAGTTGCATGGGTTTGAAGCAGCAGCCTGCAGTCTCAAGCACCAAACCTGAATCTTACAACCTGCACTTCCCCCTAAACCCTTAAACCCTTAACGCCCACATCCACCCCAAAACCCTAATACACAGATTACAGAGGCCTACGGACTTAATATAACTGTGCCTTGACAATCATAGCGGTACATCCAACCCGCCCCCCCCCCCCCCCCC